ACTTCTAAAACCAAAACCCTTAATTAATCCTACTAACATAAAACTCTATTTATAGAAAATCCATTTATTCTAAATTAAATCATTTAACAATTAATTCAATTTCAAGAAAAATAATTAATTCTATTTAAAGAAAACAATTACATCCAATAATTAAAACCCAATTAAATAAACAATTAAATAAAATAATCAAACAAAAATAAGTCATTTAAATAATTCATAATGAAATCAACAAATTCACAACTAAATCAATAAAACACAATTTAAATAATTAAATAAATTCCAGAATTATCCTTGTTAAATTAGGGGTATTACAGGCCACTACTACCACCATCCTGGAAAAAAAAGAGTAATGGCCATTGCTCAGACAAAAGAAATTGTGCAATTTATTTGGTAATAAAGACATCAAAGCACGATTACATGTGAAGGCACGATTGCATGTTTGGAACGTGGAAGTTCTAGAAGCATCAAAGGCATGATTATATGTTTGGAATGTGAAAGCTCTAGAAGAATCAAAAAGACACGATTGCATGGCTTGGACACTTGGAAGCACTTGGAGGCATCAATGGAACTGCTTGGAACTACTATTGTAACTGATTATATTTTCATTCTATAAATAGGTCATTATGTTGTAACGTAATAGGCCTGCTCAATGCCAAACACAGCAACGCATTTCAATACAATCTTTATTTTCATTGCAATGCACTTTCAATATGATTAGTCTTAGTCCTGCACTTTACTTTTCATTAGATAATTTTACAGTCTTTTCAATTACTTTCTCAAGTAGTTAGTTCCTTCCTAATCAGTTAACTATCCCAAAGTCCTTTATCAAAGGCAAAAAGAAGCCAGAGGTGTTCATTCCAGACCTCTTCACAATCGCCTGGTCTCGTAATCTTCCTTCTGGAATATCGTTTGGATCTCTTTTCGAAACTACTACAGTTCCTGGCACGCCCACCCGGTTCCATCGAAACTAACCACTTTTACAAGGCTAAACATAGTGGCACACCCGGCGGGACATTCTGAACGGAGTGTTTCCATGGCGGGAGGAAAAACATACTACAAATCTATTCAAGATCCTGCTGAAATTGAAAATGAACAGGCTATTAAACTTTTTAATGAAAGTTCACGTGCCATTTCAAAAGACATTCAACTAATATTTAATGCATTTCAGGCATGCATTGATGAATGGAATGACTTCCGTAAACAGTTGCGTCTTGAAAGAGAGTTACGAGAGCAATTACGGAAGCCCTACTTGGTAGAAGGAAGTGGCTCCAAATCTCAAGTACAAACCTTTCCACGAGCTCAGCAACCACCACCACCCGTGGTGTCAATTCCACTAGCAGTGAAGTCGATTCCGCTAGTAGTGAAGTCGATTCCGCCATCACTTCTATTGCAGATGCAGGTTCCACTTAAGGTGCAGAACCCTTTAGCAACAATGAAGTCGATTCCATCTACAGTACCTCAAACAGTATATCATACCCTAAACCTAAATCAAGTAAAGTTCTCACGTGCCTCCAAAATTATCTTAACTTTTTCTTTCTTTTGTTCTATAAATTCCTTAAATTTCTTTTAAAAAAATGTCAAATTTCCTTTTTGTGAATCATATCTCAATTTTCTTTCCTTTCAAATATATGTCATTAAATTTCTTTCCTTTTTCCATCTTAAAATTCTTCTTTTTATGTGTTATATCAATGTTAGTTGATTTTTTTTTATTTTTTATTTTTAAACTTTGCCCCCTCTGCTGCCATGAAACCTTATATACCAGGAAAAATAAGAAATTTTGTTTTTAAAAATAAAATAAAAAGGAAATCTATAGAAACCAACAAACCGAACCGAACTGAACCAAACCTGTTTTTCGCAATTTGGTTTGGTTTCCATGGGCATTTATGGTTCAGTCTGGTTTCAAAAATAGTGGAACCGGTATAAATGGGTTGGTCCCAAAAAACTCCCAATCCGGTCCAAATCGGACCGTGTGCACCCCTACTTATAAGTTGTTTAGTTTTTGTTGAGTGAGTTATATATATATATATATAGCCTTTATTTTTTTTGGTAATGAGCATTAAATTGACATGAAGATAAACCATTATCCAAATCCATCAAAGTGCTTAAGTGCCATATATATGAGAGTTAAAAAATTAAAAATTACTTTTCTTCTACAGTAATCAATTTGATCTGTCTATCCATTTCCAACTAATCTTGATAAAATAGCTATGATATATACTCGTATTAAATCATTTCCACATATAGTTATAAACATACAACAACCCCCTACCTCAATTTGAGATGAAATCTCAAAAGCCACCAAAACGGAACCTTTCTGAATGCGACGCCACTTCGGGGTTTTGACGAGGACAATGAAAAGAACAACAAACCCTTTTGTGGTAACACCAAAATCCAAACCCAAGCTAAATCCCGAACTCAAAAAATGGCCAAAACGGCATTCCAATCGGATAGAATCGAAGGTCTTACCGAGGCCAACGTTAAAGCCTTCATCGACTAAGGAAGAATCAAAGGAGAAATGGTTCAAATGGAGCAAAGAAAGAAGAAGGAAGAAGAAGGGGAGGGGCGGCAGCCATGGGAGGAGAGGACAAAAATCTGATATTTCTCTCTCCTACCTCCTATTTATGGAAATCTCAAAAAGGGCCCCGAACGGGTCCCGCGTGGCCACGAAAACGGCAAAAGTCCGTGAACGAAAAAGTACCGTCATGACAAAAAAAATGAACAACGGAAGAAACGGCGTCGAAAACCGAGTCACGTGCGGAAAGATATACCCCGAGCAAGTTCGACGGCAAGCAGGGTCAAAAACCCTAAAACTAGGGAAAACGACTGGGAGACAATTCTAAGAGTACACAACTCGATGAAATGTGAAAATAAATCCCGTACGAGGATTCAAACATAAAAGAGACACTTTGCAATTAACTTTCGTTAATTGCACAAAGGCCCCTACACAAAAGGATAACTGCATAAGTGACCCAAATGAAAATATATTCTAAAAGATACTTTCTTAAAAACCCCCAAGACAAAATATCTTCAAAAGATATTTATGAAAAATACCCCAAGAAACAAAAATGTTTCTGAAGAAACTTTGCATCCACGCCCCTACAGGAAATAGAAACAATCAGCGAGCTTTTCTTCAAAAGTAAAGTTACGCATTTCGAGGAAACCAAATGGAATGAAAGCACGTGAAGCCAAAAATCAACTCTAAAGACGAAAAGTGAGGTCACGTGAAAAAAAATATCAACGGAAAAAGAAAATCCGTAAAAAGGGAAAAAATGAAAGGAAGGAAAATGACTGGGTTATTATAAATTTAATTAAACATGAGACCCATATTTGATGGGTCAATTTGCTAAAACAAAAGTCCATAAAATTTTAGTGTCTACATCCTGTATTTATACTTATTAATTTATTCTACTGAAATGAGGGTATTATCGTCGTTTTAAGTCTCCGGGGGGCTATTTGCACTAAATCAATAGTATATGGATTATTTTGTACTATATCGGTAGTAGAGGGGGTTTTTTTTACACTTAACCCTATATCTCTATATATATATTTCACTACTGGAATGACATGCAATTGACATTTCTATTTGGAGATGTTTTGAAATTCTTGTCCTTGCTAAAAAATAAATAATAATAATAATAATAAAAAAGAGGTCAATAAAATACTATTACTCAAATTTTAATGGATAACAATTACTCAATTTCATCACCGTGTCTTTGTAGATGACTTTGATGGCTGCAAAGGTGCTAACAGAGGTTGTCGGAATGGTTTGTGAGTAGATGCATATAATAGAGAGAGAAAGTAGGGACAGAAAGTGAGAGAGGGGAGATGGATGAAGGGTATTATGAAAATTTTACTTCATTAAGTCGATGTCATTAGTAGAATCCGTTATTGACTGGCGTTGACCGAAACAAAAGAAAGGTCTATGTATAATAGTTTTATTTTTAGGATAGATTTTTATAATTATGACAAATTATAAGAGAAATTTGTATAATTTACTCTTAGAAAAAATAATAAAATAAAGGATCAATGATGTGTACGCGTACAAAAGTCATGGATGTAAGGTGTATGTGATCTAAAATGAAAAACAGTCATACAAATGTATCCATTCATATTTATGTCAATTCAATCCAGCGAAATATTGATGGGCTCCGCTTAATGTGTATAGGTAGGGGTTGGGTTTAAGGTCAACTGAATCAGGTAACAAAACGGTCTTGGATTATTCACGTGACCCAACTTTTCTGCCGATATTGTTTGACTCGTACAAAGTGGTTACGCTACTTAATGTGAATGATAATTAAGTAGGCATATACTTTTCATCCACTAACTCTAAGAGCCCTATGAGTTGTTCAGTTTTTGTTGAGTGACTTTTATTTATATACATATAGCCTTTAGGTTTTCTTTTTTTTTTTTTTTTTTTTTTTCGGTAATGAGCATTAAATTGACATGAAGATATACCATATCCAAATCCATCAAAGTGCTTAAGTGCCATATATATATATATATATATATATATATGAGAGTTCAAAATTAAAAATTACTCTTCTTCTATTGTAATCAATTTGATCTGTCTTTTCATTTCCAACTAATCTTGATAAAATAGCTATGATATATACTCATTAAATTATTTTCATATATAGTTATACGGAGTATAAATTTTTCCCAATCTCTTGGTGTCAAATGAGGGAAAAAAAAAAAATTGTGTAACGAACACACCATACTATACGGCACGTGTATTAAAGCACAGTAATAAACAGTCACAGTGTAATGGGCGTAAAAAAAAAGTTTTACCAGTCAAAAGGGGCACTTGAAAGTTGAAACTGCTAAATCGCATCATATATATGTTTGTATTTGGGCATTTGTGGGTCCAAATTATATAAACAATAAGTGGTGGTAAGTTGAGCGCCGACAAGATTTGTAAGAATCTGGGCCTGGGGGTAAAGCTCTCTAGATCAATATAGACAGTTGGTCCTATACGCATAGCTAGCTTTTGACTATTACCCTCTTCTTCTTTGGCCTATAAAAATATCCCCTGCTCGTCAGTATCAACGAACATACATATACAGACCATAGACTGAGAGAGAGAGAGAGAGAGAGAGAGAGATGGACAATTTGCACAGTGACTCCGTCAACGGTTTGCCAATTCCAAGTGATGAGATGACAAGGAAGTTTGACACTGTAAATGGTTCTTCTTCAATTCCAGAAGATATGAAAGGAAAGGTTATAATTTGTAGAGGTACGTACCATATATATATATATAATCTCTTCATTTCATGCATGAACTGGACTTATATATATAGCTAGTGATGATCACTACTAGCTGTTACTAAAATTATCTTAACGCTACTTTAATATTTGTTAATATTTATATATATACACACATATATATATGTAGCTGCTGTGGCATGGGGTCCTGGGCTGCCCTTGGTGATGGAAGAAGTTTGCGTTGATCCCCCTCAAAAAATGGAGGTCCGAATCAAGATCCTCTACACCTCAATTTGTCATACTGATCTCAGTGCTTGGAAGGGCGAGGTATATATATATATGATGATGATATATATTATTATTATAATTTTATACTTCCAACTCTATATTTGTTTATTAATTTATCTTTTTAATTGAGTATATTAATTTATATCTAACTTGTCAATATATGATGATGATATTTTTGTTAAAGAATGAATCCCAGAGAGTATATCCTCGAATTCTAGGCCATGAAGCTGCCGGGTAATATATGATCGAACTCCCTCCATCATTAATTTACATATATGTGTGTTTTATTTCGTTCAATTATATATATAATTGCGTGGATGAGCAGAGTGGTTGAGAGCGTTGGAGAGGGTGTGACGGACTTGAAAAGAGGTGACCATGTGGTTCCAATATTCAATGGAGAATGCGGTGAGTGTGTGTACTGCAAGTCGGAGAAAACTAATATGTGTGAGGGTTTTCGCGTGAATCCAATGAAGAGCGTGATGGTGAACGATGGGAGGTGTAGATTTTGGAGGAAAATGGATGCTAAACCCATCTACCATTTTCTAAACACTTCCACTTTCACTGAATACACCGTCCTAGACTCTGCTTGTGTTGTCAAGATCAACTCCAAAGCTTCACTCAAGAAGATGACCTTGCTCAGCTGTGGCGTTTCCACAGGTACAAATATATATATATATATCAACTATTGAATTACTTAATTTGCCCCAACCTAGAGCTAGTCATTCATAATTTGATTTTGGCTTAATTAATTTCATATAGTCTTTTATTAAATAATATTTTAATTCCGCCAAATATTTTTATTTTTTATACTATTTATTGATTTAGAATATTTATAATAATTTTGTTTGTCTTTTATTTGAACGATTTATATTTATTATATACGTTGAATTTTTTTTTTTTTTTTTAAACAAGTGTCTCCTAAATTGTAACTTGGGGCCGCCCCCAAGACATAGAAATAATTAATTTCTCATATATGAAAGCAAATTTAATATTTTCAACGTCTGTATCGTGGGGATTTGTAGACTTCATTTATGTAACGTTAATTAATTGTTTGACTTACTATATATATATATATAACATTCACGAAGGTCTTGGAGCTGCGTGGAATACTGCTAACGTGAAAAAAGCGTCAAGTGTGGCGATCTTTGGTTTGGGCGCTGTGGGGCTTGCGGTAAGTGGGACCTACGTACCATTAATTATTATTGTATCACTTAATTCCCATAATCACAGCCATCGGAGAAGGGGCCCAATTAATAAATGAAATGAATAATAGAGACATGTCTGGGTGATGTCAACTTACACATATCCTTAATAACTGGGCCAGGGTTTCTGCAATTGCATTTGACAAAAACCAGTCCAATGCATGTGCCCATATATTCACTCCCTCCTACATTGCTGATCTCACACCTAGAATTAATGGCCAGGCGTCATTGACCCGGACCCAGCCCTCATCCCCATTTCGGTCCTTTATGATATGGCACCTCAATATTCAACTTTATGTAGCTAGCTAAGTGGGGCACGTTATGCATTTTTTTTTTTTTTTTAAGGTAATTATTTTTTCATAAAATTTGGCATGGGATTATCATTTTTTGCGGTGTACAATGAATGAAACTTTCTTTTTTCGCTAATAGATTTATGAGATACTACAATCTTCGGAGGAGTAGTAATAATAATAATAATAATAATAATAATAATAATAATAATAATAATAATAATAATAAAAAAAAGGATAAAATGTAAATAATTTTTCTGAATTATGTTTGAATTTGTAAATAATCCATATGACTTATATTTTGTACACAAAACAATTAAATTATCATATTTTGTTGCAACATATTCCAATGCATATGTTATATTTCTTTAAATAACCATAATACCCATTCTTATTGAATTACATTTAATATATTTTTTTGTCTAAATAAATTATGAAAAAAGTTTATACAAATTTGATGACATATTCTCCATTAAATGTGCATAAATTTATTTTTATTTTTTAAAATTAGTTATTTAAATAAAAAAATAGTACAAACTTTTTAAAAATTAATTAATTTTTAAATTTTTAATGAATATATTACACAAAAGGAAGGTACTTTTTAAAAAAGTATTTTATTAATTTTTCATCAATATAATATATGAGAAAGAATATTTTTTTATGATAAAAATGTTTAAATTGATTATAATAAGTTTTATTATAAATAATAAAATTTTAATAATAAGTTAATAAATTAATAAAATGGTAGTTACAATTTTTTTTTTTTAATGATAAATTGATACTAATAATAAAATTAAGGTAAATAGTATAATTAATATTTACATAAGAGAAGATAATAAAAATAATTTAATAAGAAATAAAATTTTTAATGAGAAGGGTAAAATAGTTTTTTGTGATGAATTTATCTTTAATTATAATAAATTAATAGTTTAGGAAGTATATTAGAACACTGAACACTAACGGGTTGGTTACAGCTAGCTCTTCAAATTCTTAATAAAAGTAGACATGAATTTCATGATTATTGCTGCAGGTTGTTGAAGGAGCACGAACCAGAGGTGCATCTAAAATTATAGGAGTTGATATTAACCCCGACAAATCCATCAAAGGTATTTTTAATTTAAAAGTAAACTTACATTATTACAATAGACACACACAAATTAACATTTTTAGTTATGAGTAAGAAACTAATGATGTAACCGACATTGGCATGTTTGGTCAGTCATTTGGAGGTAAAATGATGTACATGAAAAATAATTTTTTTGCCTTAAAATCTCTCAAATATTGAAAAATGAATACAATGATTTCCTAAAAATTTTTTGTAAATCATTTTTATATGATTCATTTTTTATTTAGATATGAATATGGATCATTTTCATAAGATCCGAATCTGACTCATTTTGAACTATCCACATGCCTTGTCACGTGAACTATATATAAGTTCACTTAGAGTTAAAATTGAACATTAGACAAAGATGAAGTTGACATAGAAATCTCAGTCTTTTATATATATATTAAAATTGTTGTCTATTTCAATTATCTTGCACATGGATGATACATGTATAGGTCAAGCAATGGGTATCACAGATTTCCTTGACCCAAAGGATCTTGAAGGGCCGGTGCACCAGGTTAGTAGTAATTAATAATCTCTGAGCGACGAAAAAGTCTACAATATTTTAGAGTATACTGTTTTGTGGTATTTTTTTTACGTGATATTTTTTATTTTAAGCGTTTTGTTTTTGGTTAAAATGAAAACAATATTTTGTTATAAGAGTATTTAAAAAAAAAAAAAATTTGAAACACGTTTGGGGAAATAATGTTTTAAATGAAATGTTTAGGGAGTACTGTTATTCTTTTAGGTCATGAACAGTTGTCAAAATAAGAAAAAATAATTTTTTGGTATTTTAATTTTGGGTTATTATTCATGAAGTGTTTTAACACTGTGTAAAATAAAATAAGGTCGCACCAAACATGCTTTTTTTGTCAAAATTGACACTGTAGCAGTCCAAAAACAAAAATAGAAGAAACAAAATGCATGCCAAACAGAGCCTAATGTTCATTGATAATAGAAAATAAATAGTTTTCAAAATAAATAGAAAGCAAAGCCCAGAAGAAGCTTGGAGAACTGAAGCCTATGCCCATTTAATTCATTTTTTTTTTTTTTAATTCATTGAAAATAGTACCACTATTGTAGGAAAGATGTATATTATTAAATGCATTTAAATTTTAAACTAGGAAGAAAGTATTGAGTGTGTTTGGTTGCTTTTGAATTTCAAACTCTTTTTTTTATCGGAGTAGGTATTGCGTGTGCCCGGCACACCTAATATCTATTATATTCCTATTACCCAGTAATATATTATAATTTCCCCATTTAAGAAGAAAGAATTATATATATATATATATATAGATATATTTTGATGCATGGAGTGAAATAATGGATGGATGATGAATGAAATTTTGGATGGATGCAGAAAATCAAGGAAATGACTGGAGGCGGCGTGGACTATAGTTTTGAGTGTACAGGGAATCTGGGCGTTCTTCGGGAAGCCTTCTCCTCCACCCATGATGTATGTATGATTTTTTAATAATTAGCATTATTAATTTCATTTTAAAAAATTTTAACTTACAATTTTAACGAGTCAAAATTATTGAACTAGACATCTAATATGAGATATAGATAGTAAAATAAATATAACTAAATTGTGCCAATATTCTCAATGGGCCATTAAATTGTGCCAATTTTCTCAATGGGCTTGCTTTTGGTTTGCTTAGCTTATTCACAGACCATTACAGTAAATATTCTTATTATATATGCAAATTACTTGGAAATAAAAAATAAAAAAAAAACACAAATCTTAGTTTAGTTTTCTCTATGTATTTTAAATTTTTTATTTGCTAAAATATTGATTATTTGAAAAACTTTTGATTTGTTTTTGTATATTTTAGAATGTCTAATAATGCTTTGATATTTAAAATTCATTAATTGACGTAAAAATTCAATTACTAAGAAGATCGTAGGCTGTTTAAAAGTTAGTTGTTTTTTTAAGAAAAATCAATTTTCTAAAAATAAATTAATAATGATTGTAATTTAAGAAAGGCATAATTGAAAGGTTGAGAAATTTAATACTTATGCAGAAAATTATTTCAAATGTAGAACTTTATAATCTTATTGAAATTTTATGAGACTTTTTAGTCTGAGAAAGAAAAAAAATAATAATAATAAATAAATAAATAAAATAGGACTTATTCGTTATTTTATTCAAAACGAAAATGAAAAAAAGAGTAAGGCACAAAGTAAGGCTTTCTAATCGGACACTAATGTAGTCTAGTGGTGTTCTTTCACCTTTCAAAGTGAGAGAAGATCGAGAGTTCAAATTTCTTTTAGGGTCTATTTGGTTAGATAGAAAATTATGATGGAAAGTGAAAGTGAAAGATAATTAAGTAAAAAAAAAAAGAAAAATTAAGTTTCCATCATACATTTGGTTAGCAAGAAAATTTTTGAGAAAAATTGTGAGAAAATATTATTTTGTTAATTTAGATAGCATGAAAAGGAAAAGAAAATAATTATACTTACCAAAATACCCTTCTAATTTCAAATACTTATAAAATAAATAAAGTAATGTATTTTGAATACCCAATGGTTTATTTTAGTAAATAAATAGTAAAATATGGATTATTAATTAATTAATTTTTTATTTTTTATTTGTTGGTCATGGTTTGAAGTTCAATGTCATGAACTAAGTTCCGTCACATGTAGTTTATTGTATAGATTATTCATTGAATGTCATTCATTGAAGATATAGTTTTGATTTGATAACGAAAACAACCACGTACTCTAACTTGGGGCAGAATAGAAAATTTTTCACGAGAAAGTAAAATTTCTTTCTGTTTTATGCGAGAAACATTTTGGGAAAAATTCACTTTGTTCGGGAATCCTATTTTCCTCGAAAAATTCACTTTGTGCCTAACCAAACTCTAAAAAAAAATTAAATTTATTTTTTTTTCTTTTCCTTTCTTGTTAGTTCACGCTAACCAAACGAAATCTTAAAGGCGTGTTGTGAGTAGTGCTAGTTGAGCAACTACCGCAACACAATCACAAAACAGAGTTTTCACTTTATTTTTTATTTTTATTTATTTTTTCTTTTTATTACAATATTATATAGACACTTCCTCTAAAATAAATTTACAGTTATTACCATTACATAAGCAAAGGTATATTGTCATCACTTTTGCCACAGCCGCTGACACTACTGACGTTTGTTGAGTTAATGGAATTATGGAGTACAAATTTGAATAAACAATAATGATTTATACAAATAAAATAATCTGATTGGTGATTATATGAGTTACAATTAACCACGTATAATCTTGTGCATGTCTAAAGTACTCTAAGCATATGACTATATGAGACCTAATTATACGCAAATTTTGTGTCGCAGGGTTGGGGATTGACTGTAGTTTTAGGAATTCATTCGACCCCAGAGACGCTCCCTCTCCATCCAATGGAGTTGTTTGATGGTCGAAGAATCGTCGGATCAGTATTCGGAGATTTCAAAGGGAAGACTCAACTACCACATCTTGCCGAAGAATGCATGCGTGGGGTCAGTCTCTTCTTCTGTATATATGTAGAGATGTACTGGACAATTTAGTTTCACTGGTTGTGTACGTTATATGATTGATCGGTGATGGTTGTCATATTTCAGGTGGTGAATTTGGATGAATTTATAACCCACGAGCTTCCCTTCGGCCAGATAAACCAAGCTTTAAAGCTTCTTATAGATGGGAAATCATTGAGATGTCTTCTTCACCTTTGAAACTTTACAGGCATGCATGCACTACTTAATTTTTCATCGAAAATCATATGGAGAAGCATCTAATAAGTGTGACCACCCGCACTATATATGATTCTATTTTACATCATATGTATACTAGAATATTGAATTTAGATTTGCCCAAGCATAAAAATATACCTAATATAAGGTCCTTGATTACATGTTCCTGTAAATTGTGTGGATTGTATTTTATAATGTTAATATTGAAATTCTACATCTTACTATATAAATTACCATAAAACAAGCATAATTAGGAAAATTTTCATATATTTGTCCTGATTCAGTTATCATGGCCCTCAAATCGTCAATCTATAACATTTACAGCAATAAGACACTATTTCGACATCAATGGAAAACAACAAAAATCAGAGAGCTAGTTTGGTGAAAGATGCCTCAGCCAGAACAATCCCCTCAGCTATAACAATCCCAGAAGACCTCTCTTACCCTAATTTTGGTAAACATCACATTAGCCCTAGCCATGTGTTGGGATTTATATATCCTGGCATAACAAATTCCTATTTGGATTATAGTGACATATGTTCCTGACATATCTGAAATATTTATATAATTGGTGAATTCAATGTATTATGTTTCGATTCATTATGGAAGTGATAGTGTCCACCTGATTATAAGAAGAGATATTTATATATGTATGTGATTGGCAATCAATACATGAATATAAATAGTAATCATAAATTGTTCAAAGTCGATAATTATGGATGAACTCATTATTAACTAAGACTTGAACTGGATCCGCGTTAGGTTGAGATATATTGCGAGAGCCGTCATATGTAATTGCTCCCTATCACTGTCATGACATTTGACTCTAAAACATGAGAGAAGTATAGATTCTTTTATTAATTAGTAATTACTTTTATTTGTTCATCAAAATTTCTAAATCCTTAGACCAGTACTTTAGGTAATTATGTAATTAATATTTAGAGAGATATATTTTTAATATTTGCATCATTGCTACTTGTATTTATTTTGTATTGATTATGCTTGATCACAAAGTAAATTCGAAAGCCTTTGTGTGTTTTTAGACAAAATGATTTATTATATATTTATTTATTTAAATTATTATTTTTGTTAAACAAATATTTTATTGTGATCGAGTCAGAAATAATCAAAGGTACCAAAATAAATATATTAATTAAGTAGTCGAATTGATGACTTTATTTATCCGATAACTAATTTTGTATAGAGGGGTCAACGTGCAATATTGACTTAGAGGTTATTTATTATTTAATTGGAATTTAATTAATTTTTTTTAGTGGAGTAGAAATTAATTAATGAATTAATTTAATTGGGTCTATGGACCGGGCCAATTATTAATTCATTGTAGAGAATAAAATAATAAGCCCAAAGGATTCTCACTCATAGCCCAACTTGATATTGGAATCCTATTAGATTTGAAATATATGAATTAGAGATTGAGATGGATTTATTGTTTACTTTCTTTATCTTTCTTTTGCCTATATATACATGGGTCCATGTATATTTTAGGTGAGATTTTAAAAGGAAAAGGAATATATTTTTTCTCTCTAGATTTTTAGGGTTAATGTTCCCATCTAATGTAGGCTCCCACAAGGCTAGTTTTCCAAGGTCATTCATGGAGGCTTATGAGTGATTTCTAAAGGTAAGACCATTACCAAGAAGATGGAAATCAAAGGAGAAGGCATCTTGTAAAGAGATCTACAATAAATGAGAACATTCATTTTAGAGGAGAGATCTAAGGTTTACTCAAACCTTGATGTAAATATTCAATCTATTAATTGAATGCTACATCATATTTTATTTTTGCATAAAACTTGTCTCTATGTGATGAATCAAGATCTATGTATGAAAATCCCTCAAAAAGATTTTAAAACTTGCACGTTTCTCAACAGTGGTATCAAAGCATGGTTTTTTTTTTTTTTTTTTCTTCTTTTTTTCTTTTTTTTTTTTCATAATTGGTGATGTATAAATAAAAAGAAATATTTACAGATGCATAGAAGGTATACCCTCAGAAAAAACAAACAATTAGAAGATTGAAGTTGAAGACAAAATTAGAAAATAAAACCAAATTAAAACAATCCCTGGATAAACAATAAGGTAGCATCAGCAGCCCAAAATTAAGCCAAAATGTCAGCCAAACCAGCATCTTGAACCTGTAGAACCTCCATAAGCATAGTACGAGCCACCACATCAGGAGCACTGGCGACCCCATCATGTAATATAATATTTCGTTCCTTCCAAATAGCCCATAAAGAAGCAGGAAATAGACTTTTAAGTGATCTAGAGTGAATATATTGATGATGACACCATTCCCAAATCTGATCAACTATATTTAAAACCAAAAATTGATCCATCTCCCATCTTAAGACACCTCCTAACCACCTCCAAAAAGCTGTAGTGAAGGAACATGAGATAAACAGATGCGCAATTGTGGCCACAGCACGTAAACACAAGGAACATCGAGGGGCTAATTGAATCTTCCTTCTCAGTAAATTAACCATACTAGGAAGCTTGTTGTGCAACACACACACTGCTGTAGTAGACCAGAGGACGAGCCTTACCCCAGTAAATTTTGTACCATTGCACAGTACCAAAAGCAAACCTGCAAATATCCCAAGAAGCCTTAAAAGAAAATTTACCTCCATCTCATAAAATTTTGTCATCCTGAGTTATATGCACGGACTGTACGAACTGTCTAAAATGAAGAAATATATCATTCGACAACAACCGAAGTCCCAATCCCCATTAACTATTAAAGCATGAACTTTACTGTGCAAATCCAAAGACAGTCTATGAGCCATCCTATGGCCAAATTTCTCAGTAAGAGTCTGACCAAGACACCAAGGATCAAAAAATAGCTGAACCAAATTCCCAGTCCCAATCTGATAAGAAATATTAGCTCTCATAAAATCTCTAATGTCCACCATAGATTTCCAAATGACAGAATCTGTCACTATAGAAATCACATTCCAATATGAAGAGTTAGGAACGTATTTATTCTTAAACCAAGAGATCCATAACTTGTCCTTGCTTAACAGGAAGTCCCACACCAGCACACTTCTGGGCAACAGTTGAACATCCCCAATTTCCTAAGACCAAAACCACCCTCCTGTTTAGGCCGTGAAACCATGTCCCATGACAACAAGTGAATTTTCTTAGAGCATGGTTTGATACATTACTATAGATCATGTTTTTATAAAAATCATTATTCATGGATCCAAATTTATATATGCATATGTATATATTAATATATGATCATTATGTATGTATATTTGTGATTGGATGATGTTGATGTATGTTTGGGCCATGAATGAAACTTATAGGTTTACTTAATATAATTTTATCTTTGGATGAATGTAATTAAGGCTTTGATTAAGCCATTTGAAAGTTCAATGATGTAATTTAATTTTTTTCCATTGTATTTCAAGTGTAAATATCTTTTAAAGCCATGTAATCTTCATCAAAGATGCTATGAAGTTTCAAGAAGGTCCAAGAGGGTTAAATTAGGTTTCAAGAATTTTCTGTAATTTTTTAAAATTTTTCTGGGATTTTTCTAAATTTTTTTTAAGGGCCTATTTTAATTTTCTGGAATTATCGGCGGTTTTCCGGCGGTCGGAGCGTCGCCGCTAGCGAGGGTAGCGCTGGAGTTAGAGCGGATGATCTGGTGCAGTGCGCTCCACATGTGCACGCACCAGCCACCCTTGGATCTTAGATGGAGGCTGAAAGGGGATATGATGCAGCGCACCTATCATGCATTTAGCGCGTGAGGAGCACGCGCTAAAGTCAACTAGCTTGTTAGCGTGTGAGGAGCACGTGCCAGACCAAGCCATCACCTTCCACCCGCGTGCAGGTGCATGCCATACACCGCAGAGCCCCCCAAGAGCGTGCTAGCGTGTGGAGGCGCGTGGTACGCGCTGCTGTACCCCATAGGCGCGTGCTAGCGCGTGGACGCCCATACAGCAAGAATAGTATTTAAATGTTAAAAGCTAATTCCATTGGCCATTTAATTTGCTTCTGTCTGTTGTTTAAATATTTATGTAATGCATGAAATAATTAATTACTGATTATTATTATTCATACATTTGATCCATAATTTTTTATTTAAATGACTTGATTTATATTAATTAAATTATGAAAATTAATTGGATTTGATTACTAATTAATTAGAGGGCACTTATTGGGAAACGAAAAAGTATTTTTAAAGTGTGCCTCAAATTAAATATTAGTAAATCATTTAAAAGTCCAGATATTTTCTAAATTTAATTGGGTTAAATTAAGGCTTTTGGCATGCATTAAATCACAAATTAAAAATCCTAATTATAAATAATTGAAAATTTGAGTGGGAGCAGGCATTTTTATACTTACCCCAAGGCCTTCGTTATTATAACCATTTTAATTCGATCTTCAAAAATAAGGCCCCACACATGATTTGAAGAGTCTAAAAATTACAATAATGGTTGTCTCATGAAAATAAAAATATTAAATATTCATTGTAATTAGATCTTTAAAAATAAGGCCCTACGTATGATTTAAAGAGTCTAGATTATAATGACAAGATATTTAATATTTTATTTTTCGTTGGAACATTAATAACGTTATATACTCAATCTAAAATCAATAGTGTTAGCTTCCCAACGGAGTAGTCTACACTAGGTGATTTTAGAAAAGGCTAAACATAATCGGAAATCATTTCATATATATAGACAAGGCATTGTCTTAAGAGATATGGAAATGATGGGATTTGTGTAATGACCCGGTCATTTTTCTTCCTTTCATTTTCTCAGATTTTTAGGGATATTTTTTTTTTCCGTTGTCTTTTCTTTTCTATGTTCGGTTTCTCATCACTTGTGTCATCTTGAGTACTCGGGAATGGTTTCCGATATTCTTTCCTTTAGATTGATGACTTCCTTTGAGGACTGAGTCATTTTCACTTTTGTGACACTATTCACTTTTCGTCTTTTTCCCGTTTGTCACTTTGTTGGCATAACCTCACTTTTTGTGTTCGGATTTGATTTTGGTTTTGCATGCATCCACGATAATTGAGTTCCATGCAATGTGTATTTTTACTTTCTTATAAAAGCATGCTGAGTGTTTACTTTTCTTATAAAGGGTATGGATACATACTTTATTGTAATTTTTCTTAACTTGTGGGGTTTTAGTGTAATTAAATAAAGTAATTATTTTTCATCTTGGGGACCATTTTGTAATTTTATTTGAAA